CTAAAGCAGTTCTAAATGTTTTGACTAAAATGTTACGTTCATGCAAAAATCCTTGAATTTTGAACTCTGTGTCTCTCTCAACTCTCTGGATAAATTGGCAGCGACGGTCTACCTCAATTTCTTCGTCACCCGTAAAATATACTCGTTTTTAAATTTATACTGTTCGTTTTCAGCTGGAAAAAGTGAACCTATTCTATGATAAATTTGCCCTTGCACCGTAAATGTAGGCGAAAATCCCGGCATTATTATTTCCCGGTCAACTACGAAGGACGTCATTTGAAAGCATGAGTTATATTTCCGGATCCTGTTTAAAAAGCGCCGTGACTCATTAGCATCATATAAAAAAAGAGTTTTCAAAGGTTCTTCTGGTTCCCCAAGTAACGGAAGAGACACTTTGCCATTGGAACGGCACATGCCTGCGGTCTCATCTTTCCATTTTAAAGCGCTGCAAAATCGACACGCCTTGTCCATCAGTCCGATAACAACTAACCTGTGATTTTTATAATCAATCAACGGATCATAATTGAATGCTGCGTCATTAAAAACCGACCAATTTTTTCTTTGAAAATTTTGCCGACGTTCAGCTTGGAGCTGTGCATTTGCATCTCTTCGCGCCCGTGTCTGTTCTGGTGTTTCAGATGCCCATATTAGTTAGTAGTAGATTGACGTTCAGCTTGCTCAATGAGTCTGTGTTGAGTTTCAACAGGTGTTTCCGCGGCTCTTAAGGCGACCTGATGTTCCGCTTGTTCGAATAGCCTTTGCTGACTTTGAGCAGGTGTTTCAGTAGCTCTTAAAGTAGAATTACGCTCTGCCCGTTCAAGACGCCTTTGCTGACTTCAAAGTCACACTGAAACACCTGATCAATCAGGTGTTTCAGTAGCTCTTAAAGTAGCTTGACACTCTGCCTGTTCAAGACGCCTTCGCTGACTTTGAAAAGCTGTTTCAGAAGCTCTTAAAGTAGCTTGACGATCTGCCTGTTCAAGACGCCTTTCCTGACTTTGAGAAGGTGTTTCGGAAGCTCTTAAAGCAGCCTGACGCTCTGTCTGTTCAAGACGCCTTTGCTGACGTTGAGAAAGTGTCTCAGATGCTCTAAAAGCAGCCTGACGGTCTGCTTGTTCTTGCCTTCTCAGTTCAGCATCTTCTAAAGATTCTAGCGATCGAGCTTATCTTTTCGCTTGTCTTTGAGAAGATACTCTTGAAAGGCTGGACTTACGTTAGCGAGGAATTATGAAGCAACAAAAAACCTATTTAAAAAAATGGTTAAAATACCTAAAAGGATTTAAATTTCCTTTTAAATATTTTTTAAAATCAACACAACAAAACCAATTCAAGACACAACACGAATCCAAAAACGATAGCCAAAAAAAATCGAATCAATTTAAAACAAATCGCAGAAAACCGATATCGAAAGCAGTAGTAGTCAATATAAATATTACCAACGAAAAAAATAAGTAAGTGTATAGTAAGTGTATAAATTAAAATGCAGGGAATAGAGTGAATGGGGCACTACACTCTATTGTGAAGAACCAGAATGTGTAAAAAAAGGCACGTATGATAATTCATAATGCTGTGTTAGTCCCTACTTTAATGTATGGTAGTGAAAGCTGGGTGTGGCAGAAGAAGCACGAAAGTAGAATAAATGCTGTAGAAATGCGGTCTTTAAGGAATATGCTAGGGTTGAATCTGAATGACAGGGTGAGAAATTGCGTGATAAGAGATAAATGTGGTATGCAAGATGATGTTTTGATCAGGATTAAGAAAGGAATGCTTTGGTGGTTTGGTCATGTAGAAAGAATGAAAGAGGAAAGAGTGACAAAGCACATTTATATGGCAGATGTGAACGGCAGAGTCGGGAAGGGACGCCCTAGAAAAAAGTTTATCGACCAAATTGGCGATATTTTGAAAATGGGCCACGTTAGAAGTACCCTTAACCGACGAGCATGTATGCGTAGATATATGGATGTAAAGGAGGCGAAAGAGGTATGTCAGGATCGTGCCACATGGAAGTCCGTAGTCTCTGCCTACCCCTCTGGGTGACAGGCGTGAGTGTTTATGTATGTATGTTAAAATATTGTTAAACAACCTAAAAAAACGAAAACCAATTCACGATTCTAAATAAACAAAATCCAAAATCAAAGCCAGAGTCTAAATATGTATAAAGGAATACCAACAAAATCAACAAAACCGATCCAAGAGAATACACAAATCCGAAAATGAAAGCCAATATAAATCCATTCAACCTTAACCAAATCACAAAGCAAATAACAAACAACCGAAATTGAAAGCAAGTAGTCGAATAAGCTACGAAATAGAAACAATTTGAGCGTATAGGTACCGTATGCACTATAAGTTGACGCGCGGCTTAACGGCGGGAGTTAAGTACATGTTAGGAAACATTTCGTTACCGCGTTTTAAAAAACCTGGTAACGACATCTAGCGGAATCAATTTAAACTATGTATACGTTAGATAATGAGAACTCTCAAAAATATTTTTCTTATAATTTTGCACAATTTTTCTTATTGTAATACCGATTCATTCATAACCACATATAAGAACTGTATTCATTTCCGTTCAATAAATATTACTAAGGCTTATTAATAAGGCTTACTAAGAACTGTTTCTACCACAGTTAAGTAATAGTGCAGGGTGAAAGCGTGACAGGTGTTGATAGTATTTCTGATCCATACTTATAAACACGCCTTTAACCCTTGCGGGGTAGGCAGAGCATCAACGGATTACTCGTCTGCGAGGTTATCGCCTATTCTGTGAATTACAATGCACCAAAACGTTTGAAGAAAATCAGCTGGTGAAGAAGCTGGTGATATTTTTTATCGCTCTCTTCCTGGTCCTGCGTGAAAAAATGCAGATCCATACATTTTTATCTTAATTTTATTATATATTAGTTCTAATATTCATAAAAAAGTATCTTTGTTGTCGATATAAACGTCAAGTTATTTTGATCGCTTGGGCGCCTTATGAACTTTAGGCTGTCGTCATCAACCGTCCGCTTGGTTGAGCTGTCGTCAAAATCTCCCAAGAGCTTCGCAATGTGGCGCATCATCATATTGGTAAGAAAAAGAATATAAAATGAAGATTCCGAAAGAAATGATAGGCTCAGAAGGGCTAGAACCCAGAGCCGTAAAGCCAGTAAAAAAAATCCTAGTTCAATAAATGTGACAGGAAGCTGTCGAAATGTCAAAGGTATTTCCACAATCCACAGAGTTAGGCATATCGATTCACTTTTAAAAAAATCGATCTCTGAATCGATTTGAATCGAAGGTACTAGAATCGATTATCGATTAAATCGAGGATTAAAAGATCGATTTTCGATTAATCGCGACATTTTCAAACGTGAAATTTCGAGAATTTACGATTTTTTCATTAATTGAACTTTAATATTTTTTAGGGTTCCCTAGTCAACTAGGAACCCTTATAGTTTCGCCATGTCTGTCTGTCTGTCTGTCCGTCCTCGCTTAATCTCTGTGACCGTTAGCACTAGAAAGCTGAAATTTGGTACCAATATGTGTATCAATGACGCCGACAAAGTGGTAAAATAAAAATTGTTTTATTATTACCCCACTATATGTAAAGTCGGAAGTGATTTTTTTTTAATTTCAACCCTAACGTGTGATATATTGTTGGAAAGGTATTTAAAAATGAATAGGGGTTTACTAAAATCATTTTTTGATAATGTCAATAATTTCGGAAATAATCGCTCCAAAAGTAAAAAACAATGTCCCCCGCCCCCTCTAACTTTTAAACCATAAGTTTAGAAAATATAAAAAAAATCTGAAAAGTAGAACTTTATAAGGACTTTCTAGGAAAATCATTTTGAACTTGGATGGAAACAACAGTACCCACTACTGGGAGCAGTTGCAGGAGCGCGGAGCGCTGCTGGAGCGCGAACATAATGGATACCCACCTTTAGACTCATAAGTGGGAACACTTATTGTGACGGACGGGAAACTACGGAACCCTACACTGAGCGTGGCTCGACACGCTCTTGACCGGTTTTTTAAAATAAAATATTAGTAATCTTATTAATTAATATTACTAATATTCCTTTTAACCACTCCTGTTAAGCTAGAAACGCTTGTGTTAGGAGTGGTTCGGACATACGCCACTCAATCCCTTTTTTTAGAAAGTCATTCCATGTATCACTTTTATTTGACATTTTAGGCTAAAAACAACAACAATACTTTAACAAAAGTGCAAACTGCAACGTACATTTCTCGATAAAGCTGTTTCAATCTTATAACTCACTATTTATCATAATGAAATGAATGCTACACGAACACAATACTGGTTATTTCCTTACTGTCTGTACCCACAGCTCACAGTATGTATGTTTTTGATAATAATAAAGTAAATTCACAAGTTCACAGTTCAAACAAGTTCACAGCTATAATTTTATACTATAGTATGTATATGTAGCCTTTGTTCACAGCACAGATTAAGTTAGACCAACATCCCACAGGCAAGATTAGAATTAGAATTTAAGAAATGAAAATGAAATTACAACATTTCGATATTGTTGGATGCGTTCATAAAAATATTTATGAACGCATCCAACAATATCGAAATTTTATTCAAATAAATATTGCGTTCAAATTATCAACCAAGTACGACCGGTTGTTTTTGCGTCCCCCAACAGCAAAAAATTAAAAAACTGCGGTGTCTTACCCCAGCCAGTTTGGGAATTTTATCGCTAGTTCTTGAATCGGATGAATCAGTCCGATTCGAGAGCTCTTTGGATCGATTCAGTGAATCGATGCGGTGCTCTGCATCGATCTAAAAAATCGATTATTTTACTCCAAAGAATCGATTTTTCGATTAATCGATTTTAGATCGACATGCCTACACAGAGTACTTTCGCTTTTGTCTTTTGAATGGTATTTCTTGGCTAAGGTAGTGGAGTGAAAATAAAATAATGTTTAGCTTAAATTACTGAATATATACTAGAATGTTTAGTCTTGCATTGTTTTTAAAATTAAAATAAATGTACAGCATTTCTGATATAGACGTAAGCATTGCGAATATATTATTATTTTCATCAATGATATTAATGAATATTAGATTTTTAATAACTTATATCAACAGAATAAACGAGCTAATATACAACCATCAGCAAGAAAGAGTATCCACAGTAACTGTGATAATTGTCCATTTTTCCGGATAGAAGATATGGGGAAATATGGGCTGGGTAATGAGAAAAATCATAGAGTTTTTGAGAGATCTCATCCCAAGCATAAATTCTCATCGCACGAAGATCAGGGTCAAGATGTAGTTGACAATGTTATGAGGTGAGTTCTGATAAAAACGCTAACAAAATGGGAGTACACAAAAACTTATACCATGCACTTTTTTCTGATGTGTGCCCACAATGATTGTTTAAATTTATAAACACATTATCTGTATCAAAAATTAAAAATTAGGTAGTATTAAACACAGATTGTATTATTATAATAACTATATAATGAAAGGAATATTACTCCTAAACCTATAACTATGTGTAATTAATATTGAATAACTTTTCATAAAGCTAATATTATGATTAACTGTGAACAAATAAATAAATGAAAACTATAATTGCAAAATATTTTTCAGGGTACAATGTGTAATCATAATTTTCACTTAAACTGATGATTTTCTATTCTTAACATAATATTGACAAGCCAGATTTACTGTTGACCTCAGCTTGGATATTGTAAAATCCATATGCTCATTCAATAAGATTTTAAAATAATTGTTATAAACTATTATTTAATTTTTAGCAAGTTGGCCCGTCATTCAAGCCCAAAGACAACTACAAAGAAAACAAGAAGAAATTCTGTAGATGGCTTATACCAAAATAAATACAGTAATGAATCTGATGATGAGTGAGTACAATATTCTTTGATAATAATACTTCCATATATGAGGGTAGATTGATTAGTTTGCAGCCTCCTATAGACATGATTAAAAAATTTATTTCTTTTTTCCTTCATTATATTCAGTTGTCACTGTGTGAAATTTCATTATAGTGTTGCTTTTGGTTAAGAGTTTACAGTATTTTATAGAGATGAAGCAATTTTTAAAAATTGAGAAAATGGAACATTGCGCCATTATCAAGTATCTTTTTAAGAAAGGGTTAATGCTGCAGATTCACGAAGGTATGGTGGTGACTAGAGATTGCAAAATCCGGATTTTTTGAAATCCGAATTTCTGAATTATCCTATGATTAAAATCCAGATTTTTCGAAGTTTTAAGGTGGTTTAATAAAATTGAAACAAAACATCATAAATCATTTAAAATCTGAATTTATTCAGTCACGACGGAATGAAATCAACTAAAATAAACAACAAAACAGTCATAAACTGAACATAAAATAAAATCAAAGCAAAAAACTAATGTTTCAGGTGTGTGTTCAGTACATGTTGATAAACTTCACATGTCCTTGATTCTTTTCAGACATGTTGTTTTTCGTGCACATATGCATCGTATGCATAGATCAGCACTCAAAATTGTATTAACAATTCCATAGGTAATGGTTCCATCGGGTTCAGGTTGCTTGTGTCCTATTAAATTTATAGCGAGTGCTTAGTTCCTGAGCTACTGTTATTTAAAAAAAATTAACACGGATTATTGAGGGCTGATTTTGCAATCGTCAGATGAGAAAGATATCCATCTAATAAAATTTAACCTGACTGAATATCAAAGTGAAACAGATAAACTATTTTATTCATTTAACCTCAGAATACAGAAAAATCCAGAAGCCGCGAACGTGCTTAAAACTGAAGCAATGAAAACTACACTTAAATAGTGTAGCTTCACATTCATGCGAATAGTCACTCTATGAACGTCGTATGGCGTGATTTATTTTGCCAGTGTCAAATTTAATTTAATTATGAGGTCTTGTGTCATCTCTGCCTGTAAAAAAGCTGTTAGGCTTCAAAAGCAATAGGATGGGATCAAATTTCATGTAGTGTAGGGCATTCAGATGTTGTTTTATTTATGAATTGAGTTATATGTTCTGTTCATAATTGTATTAGAGAATGATGAGTCCATTTTCTTAGTGTTGCCAATATAACAGTTTTATTTTTCACTACTTTGAATTATTGAAGCCATGTTAGTTGTGATTAAATGGCATTAATAATAAAATTATTTAACTGCTTCCTTGCTAAATATTTTTCCCTAATTTTAAATACTAATAGCGTTAGTAGTTATAGTATCGAACGGAGCTTTAATATACATCAATGATGACATCATAGTTTTAAAAATACTTCTGGTGCAAATATTCCGTCATCAGAAGTGGGATGTGAACAACGCTCTTCCACTTCTGCTCAACCATCTGCTATTGAACAACCATCGATGTCATCTAGCACTGAAACAATGCAACAGAATCGGAGTGATAACACTTCAACGATTAATGTACCATCTCATTTTTTTTATACAGATGATGCATATGATGCAAAATATGTCGGATAGACTGAATACTCCATCGGAAACAAAGGTAAGAATCAATGATATTTACCTACCTTCATTTGATCCAGATACTAACGTTGGAGTACGTGAGTGGTGTCAACATATTAATAAAGCAATTCAAACGTACAACCTCAATGATTTTGACATACGCATGAGGGTTGGCAGTTTGTTGAAAGGACGCGCTAAAATGTGGGTCGATGATTGGATGATAACTACATCTACTTGGGAAGAACTACGCAACAAACTTATAACTACATTTGAACCAGAAAACCGGTATTCTCGAGACATATTAAGATTCAGGGAACATGTTTTTGATTCGTCAAAGGATATAGCGGAATTCTTATCGAGAGCGTGGGTACTATGGAGACGAGTTACCAAGGATAAATTAGGTAATGAAGATGCGGTTGAGGCCGTCATAGGTTGCATTAGTGATGAACATCTACGGATTGAACTATTAAACGCACGCGCAACAACAGTGCCAGAACTTATATCTATTGCATCCTCAATACGATTAAAGCGCGTTCATCCATCAAATAGTAGTATGACAATGCCACACAAACGTCCCCGGTTATCAAGCAATAATCATGCTTACGCTCCATCATTCTGTCACATCTGTAAAAGGAAAAATCATTCTGCCGATGAATGTCATTTCAAACCAACAGCATCGAGACAGGAACAATTTAGTAAAAGAAGTGAAAGTCCTGTTATGATGGTCATAATCCCCCTCACGGTCTCTTGCACCTCGTCAATAACCTCCAGCTTCGAGGCGGTGGTAGCCTTGAAGCTCCCCCTCGCACCCCGAGTTGTCTCCTTGGAGCAGTCCTCTTCCTCTGTTTCGGGAGCAGATCCCTCAATATTCCTCGTCAGAAGCCCTGCCACCGGTGCCACACTCCGCCGCGACTCAGTGCGCTTCCCCATCCTTGGCCGCTGGGAAGATGCTTGCGCTTCTTCCGGAGACGCCAGTGGCCGCTTCTCCGGCACTACTGGCGGTGGGGGGGGGGCACCGCGACCGGCCGGCCGAGTGGTCCCGGCGGGGTCCTGGCCAAAGAATTCCTGGGCGTAAGTAGGCGATAGTAAGTCTACCTGCACATTTGTCAAAAATTAGGACATACGACCAATGCTTTAAACGTGATCGTTCTTTAACATCAAATGTAAATCACATTGAAGGTGCAAAACTCGCCCCTTTAACTATCAGGATATGAATAAAATCTTTAAGGGCAGTGTTCGACAGTGGTGCAGAATGTTCAGTTATACGGGAATCTGTAGCTGCAGCTCTGCCTGGACAAAGAGTTCAAACAGCTAATTACTTGAGAGGTATTGGACGATTTCCCGTACTGTCACTCACGAGCTTACTGACTATATGTGTCATAGATAATATCAGCGTTGAAATTCAATTTTATGTTCTGCCTGACTATGAGATGTCGACAGACATTTTGGTGGGCATGAACTTGATACGAGGCACAAACTTGAGTGTTATAGTCACGTCTAGCGAAACAAAATTAGTACACCAAGGGTTTGTCAATCATATCATCACAAATAATCCAATATTTGAAAAACTAGACTGTGATCTTTCCAACCCTGAAGAGATCAAACAACTTCGCATACTCCTTAATAAATTTGAACATCTATTTATTCGAGGATACCCTAAAACCCGAGTTAATACAGGTATGTTAGAAATCAGATTGAAGAACCCGGATGAATACGTTGAACGAAGACCATACCGCCTCAGCCCAGTGGAGAGGGAAAAGGTTCGTAGCATTGTTAACGAATTACTTAAGCACAACATTATGACAAGAGACCTGGATTGGTTAAAGGTCGAACAACGCCGAGATGAGATGTTACGTCGTCTGATGGACAGCTTCAATAACGGAAATCCAGTGGATGGGTACCTTCTAGAAAACGATGTTTTAAAACGAATCGTAAAAGACCCAATTTTTGGACAGCAAATCTGTATTGTGGTTCCTAAATCCTTCCAGTGGAGTATAATAAATTCATTTCATACAGCGCTTAAGCACCCTGTCTACATAAAATTAAAGAATCTTACTGGTTTGATAAAATGAATACCCTGGTGCGCATATTTGCGGACAACTGTATCGCGAACATCAAAAGGAACATCGGGCGCTGTACAAGCTCAACTACATCCAATCCAAAAGCCAACTACAGCTTTTCAAGTGATACATATGGATATCACTGGCAAGCTCGGTACTACAGATGACCAACAATATGTTATAGTAACTATCGATGCTTTCTCAAAATATGTGCTATTTTATTATGCTACCAATAAAAGTCCGCACAGCACACTGGCTGCACTAAAACGTACTATACACCTATTCGCAACACCACTTCAAATTATTGTGGATGGAGGCAGAGAATACTTGGGGGAATTCAAGACTTTTTGCCAACAGCTTGGAATAAACATCAATGATATATCATCAGGAATTAGCCGAGCTAACGGACAAGTTAAGCGAATAATAGCAACGCTCAAAAATGCATTAATAATGATAAAAAAATTATGAAACGGAACAATGGCATACTGCATTAGAAGAACTTCAGTTGGCCATAAACTGTTGTACTGCTCATCGAGTAACAGGTGTCGCTCCGCTTACTCTACTTACAAGACGAAAATACTGTGTTCCACCGGAACTACTCGGGTTAGTAAATATTGATAATCAAACTATCGATATTGAACCCCTTTCCACACAAGTGCAGAATAGAATGTCTCAAGCGTCGGAACAAGATAGACAACGATTTAATCCACGTAAAGCTAAAATCTGTCATTTTCAGAAAGGAGAATACGTACTTATCAAAAATAATCCACGCAATCAAACCTCATTAGATCTCAAATTTAGTGAACCCTATGAGATATGTAGAGTACTTGAAAACGACCATTATTTGGTAAAAAAAGGTAATTGGCTGAGGACGGCCTCGATAAGTCGCCCACGATCAACTACGTCTTGCCCCGCAGCCAGGAAACCAGAGGGCCGTATCGGCGGAAAGAGAGCCATACTCTTGTAATATTAGTGCAACAAGTGAGCCCGGCCCATCCACTTCTTAAGAATCATAACAGCAGAACCTAACTCAAGAACAAAACATTTAACGCTTGTAAAATAATTTTCTACTTTCTATTTTAGAGCCACTGTGTATAACACAGCATCGACCCTATCCTAGTTCCTATAGAGTCCCTGTGTACCACGGCGAACAGGACCGCCCAGAACACAGCATCACTCCATTTCGTTTGCGTCCGATCGTCGAGTAATAGACACCCGTAATTCTGTTTTTAAAGTTATTAATTCGTTTCAAGCAAAATTCTTAGTTATTAAGCATTAATTTTCTTCTTACTGTGTTTAATTATCGTGCAGTATACAATATGTGAAATTCTAGTTCAATCAGTGTTCTCTGTCTGAAGATATTTAGC